TGCAGGTGTTTTCAGGACTGAGCCTATCGCGCTGGGGAGCGCCGACGGGGTGCTCAAGATGAGGGCTTGCTCTTGAGTGCGCGCTGTGTACTCCGGGCGGGGTGATGCCTTGGTGAGTGGGGTGCTTGTGCCCCGCTGGGTTGCGCTGGGGGAGGCCGTACAGGGTGTTACTGGGTGTGTTTTATGGAGTTGGTCAGGCCCACGATGTGGAGTGTGGGATACGGAAAGTGCTTCTTTTGCCTGGGGCTTGGGGAGCGCATCTGTTGGGTGGAGCCCTGGAGTGAGAGCTGGCTCTGACTGCCTGGGGTATGGAGGGATTGGGAAGGGGCGCAGTGCTTTTTGTACGTAAAGGTAACATAACAGGCCCTTTTTGGCCCCCAAATTGTATTGGTATTGGTTTGCAGACTGTTGCTTTTTTTTTTTTTTCACCGTGGGGTTACCTTCCTTTTCCTATCCACTAGTCAGTGTCCTATTCTTTTCCCAGATGCCTTTGGGGCATTATTTTTGTTTATTTGCTTTTTGTTTTGTTTTGTTTTGTTTTTCATTAGGTTGGGTCCTGTTTGAGGGGCAGTCCGAAGCAACCTAAAATATAGTGGTAGCCACATCTAGTGTGAAAATGAGAATTGTAAGAAATGAACCATAAATAATGTTAATTTTTTTTTCTTCTGTAGCTCATAAACTAAAAGCTGAAGGCTCATCCACTGAGTTTGTTTCGTGTTTCATTGCACGGAATGAGCATTATAAAAATACAGAGAGTGCCAAAAAAATGTATACACATTTTAAGCAAGGAAAACTATATTAAAATTGTAATACTCGACAGCTGAAAGTAATTCTAAAAAAGTGTATTTCACAATAAAAAATAATAAAAATAATAAAAAATTGTAATACTCAATATATACGATAACAAAAGATAACAAACATCTCACATTTGACTTCTACAATTACAAGAGGTGCTCAAAATGGTTACCATTAGCATCTAGACACTTTTGACTACGGCGAACTACTGCTTGAGCAACGCTGATGGAAGTGTCCACTTATATACATTTTTTTGGCACCCCTGGAATATGGCACATTTTCCCCTACTGCCACCACTTAGGTTAAAGCATGGAACAGTTATTTAAAATCTTGCCAAGGACCTCTCCATTTATTCTGTGCTACCTACCTCCGTGTGTGTGTGTGTGTGTGTGTATAAATAAATTCTTATTGTATTAAGTCATATTAGGAATACCCTTTTCTCTATATGCTTTCAGAATAGTTACAGAGATTGAATGCATAAAATAAAGGATACTTGTATGATTTAATGTTATGTGATTTCTTGCTTGGTGGTTCTAGGAAATTCTGGAATGATGTTATGCATTTGTATCTGAACAGAGTTAAATAGAATTTCTAGCTCATGTTTTCCTATGTAAATAGAAATGTCTAGTTCAGGGTATTCAGTAAATGTAATGTTAATGAAACTCACCTGTATATTGATCCTCTTTTTTTTTTTTTAAAGATTTTTTTTTTTATTGGTGAATTGGGGGGATGGGAACAGTGCTGGGGAATTGGGGAAAGGGGAACAGACAAGTTGCTGTCGTTTTGTTCTTCAATCTAGTTGTGGAGGACATTGCTTCACTGGCCCAAGTTGGCACCATCATTGTGCTCTTCCCGGCGAGGCAGATCAGTCGCCGGCTTCTGGACGGCTGCTCACTGCGGCTGCTGGCCGCTCACGCTGGCGGCTGGCCGCTCACGCTGGCTGCTGGCCACACACGGTAGCCCATGGCAACCCACTGCCACAGGGGCTGCAGCCTACGCTGTCGCCGGTGACTCACGGCAACCCAGCTCCAGGTTGAGCTGTTGTTCAGCATCTTAGCTGTGGAGGGCAGTGTCACTGACCGTCATATGTGAGATCCGAACCCGGGCCCTCTGGCGTCCCAAGCTAGTTCTTAACCATCGCGCCACTCGGCCGGCCCTGATCCTCTTTTTAAACAATGCTTTTAGTTACTAGGGTTTTTGGTTTGCTTTTTGCCGTTTTGGGCAGTTAATTAACATTCAGATATCAAGGTCAGCACAGTGGAAATGTTGAAAACATTTTGCTAGTAGGTGGATTTCAGGACATGATAGAAATGAAATGTTGGACTATGTATAGAGAGAGTTTTAGAATTTAAAGTAGGATATGAAAGAAGGCTAAAATTTCACATGTTTAGAGCTGTCTTGACCAGTCTTTCAATCTTAAGTAGGACCAATCCAGTGAGTAAGAAAGGGAAGTTTACTCAGGGATCAAAATAGAGCTATGTTCTTTTCTTCTTAGATCCTTAACCTCACAGGAGAACCCTCTGCATTCTTTTACCCTTTGGTTTACTTGATTTGTCTTCATCACATTATTTTACATACTTGTTCTAACACATTTGTTAGGTTTTTCAAGCACACAGATAATTAAAAAGAAGAGGAATTGCTGAAGTAAAAATGTCACGAGTCTAAGGAGAAAAAACTACAAAAAAAGAAACCAGAAGTTAAAAATTCTAAAAACATAGCAATATAGTAGCTTTACTGTAGAGATATATTGGATTCACAGCCCAAACAGTTACCTCAGGTAACTTCTGAGTGAATGCATGATTAGTGAAGGAAGGTGAAATTTATTTAAAATAATGTCTAAGAAAGCAGCTTTTTTTTTTCACTTTAGGCTATTTAGAGTAGTAAATTTTCATATTTAAATGATGTCTGTTTACTTATAAAATGCTCAGTTCACTGGTATGAAATATATGAAATGGAGTCTTATATTAATATTTTGAAATACTTTAGTCCATATTTATTTTGACATTGAAATACACAATGCTTATCTAATGATCACCTCCTACCATAGCATTTCTGTACCCACTGGATACAGAAGGTAGTAGAAAAAGAAAGCATGTGATCCCTGACCTCTCGGCAGTTGCCCCCTGAGAGGAGACTGAGCCTGAAGGGACAGGTCATCATCAGCTTGTGTTTCAAACGATGGAAGAGTAATCTGAGCAGACGGCTGTGTCCTATAGAAGAGTTCTTAGAGCCAAAGTGGATTTTGAAATGAATTTAGAACAAAAGTGGGAATGATGATACCTATATATTTTTCTCAGACCCAGAACACTTATTTTGCTCTTCAGGTTACTGTTGATTAACAACTCAGCTCATTCACCAACAAACCAAAAGCTAACAGACGTTATTTAAAGCAAGCTCTGCACATCTCCTCCTACCACCATCACTTGGGCGAAAGCATGGAGCAATTATTTAAAACCTTTCCAAAGACCTTTCCTTTATTCTGTGCTACCTACTTGCTGCCAGGCCACACGACCTGGATGGTCAAAGAGATTAAATATTTTATTTTTATGTTATTATTTTCTTATCTCTAGATGCCTGTGGTAAACCACCAGTGTTCGAATCAATGAAGTTAAAGGGTGTCGCTAAATCTTCATATTTACCTGGGGAGAAAGTATATTATGAGTGTAACCCAGGATACCATTATACGATAGTTTATCCTCTCAATACTTTTTGTGAGTCTAATAACTCATGGTTCCCTATCGATGAAGCTTGTTTCCGTAAGTAAACAACACCCTGTGTGTGTGTGTGTGTGTGTGTGTGTGTGTGTGTGTGTGTGTGCGCGCATGCGCGCGCTTACACATTTTAGAGTCCATTTTCCACTATGGCAATAATTTTTATTTTTTAATGTGAAACTAGGTTTTAGATAGCAATGCAGATTTTTAGGCTTTGACAAATCTCCTGGGAATTTATTTTGTAGACATTTGGTTACCTGGGTAAATGTGAATTTTATGCTTGCCCTTATAATAGTTAACTCAAGAAAATAAGATTGCATAAATTGAAAAGAGCAGTGTAGAATTTTGACCTTGATTCAAATCTGTTTTGAAATTGGCATAAAAATGAATTTGAACATTTTCTTTTAGGAAAAGAATGTCCAACTCCAAAAGTCCCAAATGGTGTTGTAGTAGACCCCCAAGTGGGATTTTACTTTGACAACGAAGCTCACTTTTTTTGTGATGAGGGGTAAGTACATTGCTCCTTAGACAAAATAAGGTAAATGTTATGGGTTCCATTTTTGTTTTGCTTCTCTTAAGTATTCCCGTAAAGTTGATTTTATTTTGCTTTCTGTGGGACAGGTTGTACTTGCAGCCAGTCAACTCTTGGGCTTTCTATGGAGACTGAAAAGATACGTACTTAGTAAAAAGAAATTTAAATTGAAGGAAAGCAAAATTATGTAATACTTGCTATATGTAATAATAAGCTTATTGTAAGCAGCAAAAATGTAGTAATCATAGTGACTTTATCCTTGACAAAAAAGTGAGCCCTATTTAAAATAACCAATTCTCAGAGTTGAAGGAGGGCTCACAGAAATGTTGTGTTGTTGAAGTCCTCTAATTCCTTATATATCTTCTGCCTGGTGGTTCTGTTACCAGAGGACAAAAGGGTCCTTGTGTCATTATAGGTAAGCATTCTAGGATATACAAATATTAATCTATGTGAACAAAGGGAAGCACGTCAAGCAAGCAGAGGGTTTATTAAAAGAAAAAAAATAGCCCAGTACACTCTCAAGATGGCATGAGACTGGGCAGGTCAGGAAAAAGGGCAACTGCACCGAAGAACAAAGAAATTTAGGATTATATTTGAATGAGGGCGTGGAATAATCAGGAGTGGCGTCACAGGCACTCCCAGGGTGTTCCTCAGGCTGGGTCTGCTGACCACTCTCCTTCCCATGGGGAGGTAAGATTCCCTTGTAGGAGCTGTCATGGCAACACAGGGGTGATTTTTCCCCGCCTGCAATGCTAATAGTGTTATAATCCATTACATTAATCCAATCCACTATAGCAATAGCTGTACCTTTGCTTAAGAATGATTCATCTCCTCTTTTCTTGGTTCCCCCACTTCATTCTTCCCTTCCTCCCCCTTCTCTCCCAGTGGCCCTGTACCCTGTTTTTTTTGCCTAAGGCAACAGTTCTAACCTTTATTGTAAATGGGGTATTGAAATCTCTAACTATTATTGTAGAAATGGCTATCATGTAGAAATGTATTCCTCCCTTCAGTTCTGTTTTTTGCTTCATGTATTTTGAGGATCTGTTATTAGGTGGCATAAATGTTTATAACTTATATCTTCTTGTTATATGTACCTTTATTAATATATAATATATAATGTCATTTGTTGTAACCATTTTTGATTTTGTCTATTTTGTCTGGTATTAGTATAGTCACCACCTCTGCTCTCTTTTGGTTACTGTTTGCATGGAATATCTTTTTCCATCCATTTACTCTCAACCTAATTTTGTCTTTGGATCTCAAGTGAGTCTCTTAAAGATGGCATATGGGAGGATCATGTGTTTTTATCCATTCTGCGGGTTTATTTCTTTTGATTAGTTTAATCCATTTAAATTTAAAGTAATTAGTAACAAGGAGGGACTTCTGTTTTTGTGCTATTTACTTTCTATATACCTTATAATTTTATGCCCCTCATTTCCTGCATTCCTGTCTTTTTTGTTGTTGTTAGTCTTTTTGTAGTGAAATATTTAAATTATTTTCTTATTCCCTTTGTGTATATTCTATGGCTGTTTGCTTTGTGGTTACCAGGAGTATTACATTTAAAATCCTAAAGTTATGTCAGTCTAAATTAAAATTTATACCAGCTTAATATCATAACATGCAAAAACTTAGCTCCTTTATAGCTCCATTCCCACCCCATTTGGTTGTTACTGTCACAAAATTACATCTTTATATACTGTGCCCCAAAGCATAAATTAATAGTTCTTTTAAATGCATTAGTCTTTTAACTTATATAGAAAACAAGATTAGAAGTTAAAAACAAAGTTACAGTAATGCTAGTTTTTACGGTAATAATTATTTTATTCCTTAAAATGTACTATCTCTTACATTGTGAAGAAAACAAAAATTATAGTTACAAACTAACTATTGTTACGATAATACAAGCTTTTATAATTGCCCATGTATTTCTTTTTCATGAGATGTTTATTTCTTTGTGAGGCTCAAAGTTTCTTTCAGTGTCCTTTCATTTCACCTTGGAGAACTCCCTTGAGCATTTCTTGCAGGGCAGGTCTAGTGGTCACAAACTCCCTCACCTCGTGTTTATCTGGGACTGTCTTAATTTCCCTTTCACTTTTGAGGACCATTTTGCTAGATAGAAGATTTTTGTTTTAAAGTTTTGTTTTAGCACTTTTAGTCACTGTCTTCTGGCCTCCAAAGTTTCTGGTGATCTGATTATCTTATTGAGGATCCCTTGTATGTGATGATTCACTTCTCTTTTCCTGCTTTCAGGAGTCTCTTTTTGTCTTTGGTTTTTGAGAGTTTGATTCCAGTATCCCTAGGTATCCATGGGGGATTCTGGATCTCCCTCTCCCCTTGAGGATACCAATCCAAATTCTTTATAAAAAATGGCATAGTATTTGCCTGCTCACATATGCTTTAAATCACCTCTAGATTACTTATAATACCTAATAAAATATAAATGCTATGTAAATAGTTATTATGCTGTATTGTTTAATGAATAATAACAAAAAAACAGTCTGCACTTGTTCATTTTAAAAATATTTTCAATTCCTGGTTGGTTAAATTCACTGATGTGGAACCCGCAGATTCAGAGAGCCAACTTTATTGTGTCTCAGTGTGGCTCTTTCTGAAATCACTTTACCTGGAGGTCATTGAACTTCTTGGATGTTCACATTCATGTCTTTTGTCAAATTTAGGACGTTCTCAGCTGTGATTGCTTCATATATTCTTTATACCCATTTCTGTCTGTCTGCTCCTTTTGGGATTCCCACAAGGTACCTGTTGGTCTACTTGATGTTCTCTCACAGGTCCCTTAGGCTCTGTTAACTTTTCTTCACTCTTTTTCTTTCTGCTCTTCAGACACAATAATTTCCTTTGCCCTATCTTCCTTCATGTTTACTGATTTACTCTCCTGCCTGCTCAAATCTTCCTTTAATCCCTCTAGGGAATTCTTCATACCAGTTATTGTACTTTTGAGCTCTAGAATTTCTTTTTGTTTTTTTTTTTTAGGTTTTTTATAGCCTTATTGATATTTCAGTGTTGTTCACACATCGTTTCTTGACTTCCTCCACTTCTTCATTTAGTTCTTTGAGCATCTTTAAGATAGTTATTTTGAAGTCTTTGTCTAGTAAATTTGTCATCATATCTTTATCAGGGACAGTTTCTGTTGGTTTTTTGGGGGTTTTTTTCCTTTAAATGGGCCATATTTTCCTCTTTCTTTATGTATGCCTTGTGATTTTTTTTGTGGAATACTGCATTTTGAATCTAATAATGTGGTAACTCTGGAAGTCAGTTTATTCACTTTTTTAGACCTTGCTGTTTTTTGTTATATTATTATTATTATTTATTTGGGTAGGGTGTCTCTGTTGAGAATCAGCCTGAGATGTAAACTGAAGGTCTTCTCAGGTCATTTCTGAGCCTTTCACTGAGTATATGCACTCAATTTCTAATTTTCCACATACATGCAGTTATTTTTTAAGTTCCTGGCTTTTCATGTCAGGCCCCTGAATGGGAAAAAAACAAAAAATGAAGTGGGGAGCAAAGGGTGTAGGATCTTTAAATCCTCTGAAAATCACTTCAGCTGGAGAGGAAAGGGCTTGCTAGAGAGGGAGGAGACGCCACTACAGTGGCTTTCTATCTCTTTGTCCGCTTCTCTATGATCAGAAGCAGCAATCAGAGCACAGATTCCTGATATTTGGAGGACAGGGCCTTTTTGCCCACCCTGGCAACTGCAAGCTGCTCCAAGAACACATACGCAGCTGCCTGTCACATTGTCGAGGATGCATCTGCTGTTTTCCTTAAGAGCTGAAATTACATTTTCCTGTTGGAGTCTTCCCCGAGAAGTTGCAAACCTTCAAAATAGTTACATCCATCAGATTCTGCCATTGCAATTGTGGTCTAGTTGGGGAGACCGAGTCCTAGCGCTTCCTAGATTGCCATCTTCCCAGAATTCTCTCTTAAAACACTCAAGTATAGGGAAAATGAGTGAGCCCTGACGGAAAAGTCAGCTGGAACCATGTACAAACAGTTTCATGGCAATTTTCTAACTTGATCAAGTAAAAATTTTGGAAGATCCAGTTAATAGTTATATAGAAAGAGACTATTAAAGTACTTTGAGGGATATGAAATGTTTAAGACATAGTTCTTCGCAAAGGATTTGTGGCCTTATTGATAAACACAGTAAGAGAACTGTCAAAGCAAAATAGTAAATGAGAAGTATCAAATAGTTATTCATGATTATAACAATGAGAGTCCAGAGGAGAGAGTACTGTAAATATAAATCATCAGAGATTTCACCAAATAGTGTGCCTGAGCTATTCCTAGAAAGATATTCTGACATAAAGAATACATGCATACCTCGTTTGATTGTGCTTGCTTTATTGTTTTTTACATGTTGCATTTTTATCAACATCAAGGCATAACCCTGCACCAGCAAAAAAGTTATAAATCCCTGAAGGCTCAGATGACGGTTAGCATTTTTCAGCAATAAAATCCTTTCAAATTAAGGTACATACATTGTTTCTTTAGTCATAATGCTGTACATACTCAGGAGACTACAGTATAGTGTAAATATAACCTTTATATGCATTGGTAAACAAAAAGATTGGCGTGACTCGATTTATTATGATTCTTGCTTTTTGCGGTGGTCTAGAACCAAACCCATGATATCTCTGAGGTACGCCTGTATTCATAAGAGCTAAAACTTACCTAGCACTTACTGTGTGCCAGATGCTAACTCATCTAATACCCAAAACACCCCCATGAGCTATATAGTATTATCCCCATTTCATAAATGAGGAAAGTGAGCAACAGAAGCAATAAGGGACTGGCCAAGCTCAAATAACAAGTCATTCATGGATTGGGACTCAAATCCAGGCAGACAAGCCCTAGGGCATAATCTCTACTCAGTGGTCATCCTGACTGAGCAGAGCGGAAGGAGCAAAGGCAGAGAAGTTAATACGTGTGTGATTGCCAGAGATGGCGAACACCTGACTGACAGGATTGACAGCTTTATTTAGACATTTTGTTGTATGTCAGTGTGCTCAAAGCAGAAACTGTTTATTTCATTAAACTCCAAATTTGGTTAGCGTTTTCCTTGTATCATTTAAGAAAAGTTTTCCTTAAACTACTGTAGTGCAGAAAATCAACCATATGAAAATCTTCTTCATTATTATGTATATCTTGTTAACTGGTAAATAAAACAGTAAACTTTTCCTTTTTTCATTTAGTTATTACTTAGAAGGAGAAAAAATTCTAACTTGTAAACGTTCTGGAAGCAATGTGCATTGGAACTATGATATCCCCAAATGTGAAAGTAAGTAAATTTTCACTTTAGAATTTAGACCAGCAATCTCTTTTGTCCTCAGGACTCCTTTATACAGATTTTTTAAAAGTTAGAATCAACATACAATATTGTATTAGTTTTAGGTGTAAAACATAGTGATTCAACATTTACGTGCCTTACAATGTAATCATCACAATAAGCCTAGTAACTATCTGTCACCATACAAATTTAATATAATATTATTAACTATATTCCCTGTGCTTTACATTACATCTTTGAGACTTATTTATTTTATAACAAAGTTTGTACCTCTTATTCCCCTTCACCTTTTTCACCCATCCCTTCAGCCCCTTCATCCCTTCATTCTGGCTACCATCAGTTTGTTCTCTGTATCCATGAATCTATTTCTGTTTTGGTTTTTTTGTTTGTTTTTTATTCCACATCTAAGTGAAACCATGTGGTATTTGCTTTCTCTGTCTGACATTTCTCTTAGCATATTATCCTTTAGGTCCATCTATGTTGTTGCAAATGGCAAGATTTCATTCTTCTTTATGGCTGAGTAATATTCTATTGTATATGTATGTATGTGTGTATATTTTACACACACACACACACACACACGTGTAGATCTATATCTCACATCTTCTTTATCCATTCATCTATTAATGGACACACCTAGGTAGTTTCTATACCTTCGCTGTTGTAAATAATGCTACAATGAACCTAGGGGTGCATATATCTTTTCAATTAGTGTTTTTGTTTTCTTCAGATAAACATTCACAAGTAGAATTGCTGGGTTGTATGATAGTTCTATTTTTAATATTTTGAGGAACCTCTATACTGTTTTCCATAGAGGCTGCACCAAAAACAATCCCACCAACAGTGCACGAGGGTTCCCTTTTCTTCACATCCTTGCCAACACTTTTGTTTGCCCTTTATACTTTTAAGTTAACAAAGATCCCAAGGAGCTTTTCTTTATGTGGGTTTGTCTATGGATATTCATTGTATTGACATTGAAACTGAGAAGTTTCTAAAATAATTACTTATAAATTTATTTTTAAAAATAGCAAACTCAATACATGTTAACATATGCAATGTATTTTTCATGAAAAATAAAAAAGTTCCAAAACAAATAGTGAGGATAGTGGCATGTTTTACATTTTTATAAATCTCTTCAAAATCTGGCTTAAAGGAAATGTTTGGATTCAGTCTGTTGCCAAATAACACGGTTTGTAGCCTCTGGAAAACATCACCCTATATTGTGAGTATGAAAGTGAAAAAAGACCGTATCTTGGTATTATTGTGAATGATTTAGTGAATGGATATATTTATAAATTACAAACATTTCTCAAGTAGTAGTGAATTTTATTTTTAATCATAAGCATATTTTCTCATTAAATTTTGAGCGACTCTTATGATGACTAGAACAAAACTTGGCATGGCCTTATAAATAGATATAGGTATTTCATATAGGCATTTAAGTGAGTTTTGTTTTGAAAGTTTATTTCTACATGGTTTGACTTTGACGTAATGCAGTTTTCTCATAGAAACCTTCTTCTAAATGGGTATTGGATTTACAATTCAATTGTAGAAATCATGTTGATGATTTCATTAAGGACAGTTCATAAGACTTTACTAATGCTGTCTTAATCTTTCACCCTCTTTTTTCCTCTTATTTCCTCTTTTAAAGAGATTTTGTGTCAATCACCTGGAAAAATAAAAAATGGAAAATACACCAATAGTTGGAGGGATACCTTTGAATATAATGAATTAGTAACATATAGTTGTGATCCTTCAAATGGACCAGAGGAATATTCACTTGTTGGAGAGAGCAAACTTATTTGTTCTGGGCCTGGCACATGGAGTAGTAAGGCTCCTGAGTGTAAAGGTAATATTTTCATTTATTTCCTCCTTCATTTGTAAACACTGTGGAAATACTTTTTAAATAGTTTTACCTATATAAGTAAACAAACAGTCATAATGTGCTTTTTACTACTGTTAAATTGAATTCTAATTTAATTTAATATATGTCAGGTTGAATAAAAAATAGTTCTAGTTGTGGAAGTCCCCACCCCAGCCCCACATGTTCTTGGCATTCCAGTTTATACAATGGGAACTAATGTGTAAATGTAGAAGTTAGTATTTTTTTGAAAGAACCAAAAACTCAAAACTCACCGGCTTAAAAATATTAAAATGTCAGAGAGATCTGGCAACAGGTAATGATAAATTGTAAAAGACTAACTCTCTTACAGATAAGAATGAAAAACTTTGTACACACATATTTAAAAAACAATGTTTAAGGCACTAGACTATAGAATGATGAAAAGCCAGGGAGACATTAGAGGGGATTTGACTCTTGGAAGAAAGGGACCACTGAATAACAACAAAATACAATAGTTATTCTTTACCAGTGCACATGGAACATTCTCTAAACTCGACCATATCTTGGGCAATAAGATAATTTTTAAATTTTTCAAAGAATTGAAATTAAAGTACATTATCTGGTGACAATGGAATGAATTTAGAAATTAAAACAGATAATTTAGAAAACCTCCAAATACAGTCATGTTCTACATAACGATGTTTCAGTCAGTGACAGACCACATATACAAAGGTGGTCCCATAAGATTATAATGGAGCTAAAGCCTGCTATCATCTAGAAAACTTCCCATCACAGCTGTCACAACATCATAGCACAATTCAGTACTCATGTTTGTGGTAATGCTGGTGTAAAGAAACCTACTGTGCTGTCGGTTTTATAAAAATGTAACACAATTACAGCAGTAGGTTGTACTATCTAAGATTGTGTTAGTACAATTTCATACAATGATGAAATTGCCTAATGACACATTTCTCAGAACACTTCCCCATTGTTAGGTAGCACATGACTGATTTGACAATCATGTAAGATACGTCTAATTAACAATTGAGTCAAAGAAGAAATCAGAAGAGAAATTAGAAAATGTTTTGCTGAATAAAAATGAAAACACAACATATCAAAATATCAAAATTTGTGTGGATACAATAAAAGCATTGCTTAGAGAAAAATTTATAGCATAAAATACTTATATTAGAAAAAAAGAAATGTCTCAAATCAGTAATCTAGAAGTTTCCACCTTAAGAAACTAAAAAAGAAGAATAAATTAAACTCAGAACAAGGAGACAGAAGTGGATAATAAAGATAAAAATCAATGAAATTTAAAAGAGATAATAATAGAGAAAATCAATGAAATTCATACCTGATTCTTGAAGGTTGATAAAATAGATAAACCTATAGCTAGAGTGACAAGTAAAAAGATGATATTTATTACCAATATCACGAACGAAAAAGAAGAAGACAACATTAAATATCCTGCACTAAATGTCTATTTAAGAAATAATAAGGGAATATTACAAAAATAACTATGCTTATAAATTTGACAACATAAGTGAAATAGACAAATTCCTTGAAAGAAACAAATGACTGGTGTCCATTGATACATGAATAAAGAAAATGTGAGATACACACACACACACACACACACACACACATACAATGGAATATTACTCAGCAATAAAAAGGAATAAAATCTTGCCATTTGTGACAACGTGGATGGACCTAGAGGGTAAATGAATAAACAAAACAAAACAGAAACAAACCCACAGATACAGAAAACAAGGTAAGCTGGTAGTTGCCAAAGGGGAGGGACATGGAGAGATAGGTGAAAAAATATATAGTGAGTGCAATGGGATTGACTGAATCTTTACCTAAAATTTTCAGTAAAACACTTAACCAAGGGAACATATTAAAAAAAAAAAGAAAAAAAGAGACTAACTTCCAAACCCTCCTGCTCTGCCACATAGTTGGGTGATGTTGGCTAACTTTCTTAATTTCTCCAAGGCTCAGTTTTCTCAGTAAAATGGCAGCCCAACAAGTTGGTCCACAATCAAAAAAAAATTTTTTTAAAGACATAATAATACCAAAACTGCTCAAAGACATAGTAACCTAAATAGTTCTATATTTATTAAAGACATGGACTTTGTAGTTAAATTCTTCCCACAATGAGAACTGCAGGCCCAGATGGCCACCCTGGGGAAGTCTACCAAACATGTTAGGAATAAATAATAGCACCTCTATACAAACTCTTTAAGAAATATAAGAAGAGGGAATACTTCTCGATTCATTGCATGAGGACATTATCCTAATACCAAAACCAGACAAAAGCACTGCAAGAAAATTACAAACACTATCCTTAATAACTATAAAGCCAAAACTCTAAACAAAGTATCAGTCAAATCTTACCATATATAACAATAATAGTATATCATAACCAGTTAGGATTTATCCCATAAATGCATGGTTGGTTCAAATTCAGAAATTAATCAGTGTAATTTAAAGTATCAAGAGACTCTAAAGAAGAAAACAACATATGATCTCTTAATAGATGCCCCCCAAAAAAGGAATTGACAGAACTCATCATCTTTTCATGATAAAACTTCTCAGAAAAGTAGAAATAGAAAGGAAGTAACTATCTCAACCTGATAAGAGGCATCTACAAAAATCTCACAGCTAATATTCTTCTTAATAGTAAAAATGAATTTATTTCCCCCCAAAGCAGGAACAAAGGAAATATATTCACTCTCACCACTCTATTCAGCCTTGTACTGGAGGTTCTACAATAAGACAACTAAAGAAATAGGCATACATATATGAAAGGAAGAAATAAAGTAGTTATGACATTATTTTTGGTGTAGACACTTCTGAAGACTTAAGTTTTTGCAAATTTGCAAAATACAAGATAAACCTATAGAAATCAGTTTACTAGCAGTAACCACCAGAAATTGAAATTTTAAAACTACTGGTTAAAACACCTCTAAAACACAAAATACTTGCATATAAATCTATCAATATATGTGAAAGATTTGAATGCTAAAAACTAAGCACTGATAAAGGAAATTAAGAAAGACCTTAATACACTGCTGATGGGAATGTAAATTGGTACAGCCATTATGGAAAACAGTATGAAGCTTCCTCAAAATTTTAAGAATAGAATTACCATACAACCCAGCAACCCTTTTTCTGGATATCTACCAAAAAAATCTGGAAACATTTATCCATAAAGATATATGTACCCCTATGTTCATTGCAGCATTATTCACAGTAGCCAAGATATGGAAACAACCAAAGTGTCCTCCAACAGAAGACTGCATAAAGAAGATGTGGTACCTAAATACAATGGAAAATTATGCAGCCGTAAGAAAAGATGAAATACTACCATTTGCAACAACTTGAATGGATCTTGAGATTATCATGCTAAAAGAAATGTTAGACAGAAAAAGTCAAGAACCATATGATTTTACTCATACGGGATATAAAACTGAAAGCAACAAACAAATAAGACAAACAAGCAAAAACTAATAGACACAGACAACAGTTTAGTGGTTACCAGAGAATAAGAGGGGAGGGCAGGAGATAGAAGAGGGTAAAGGGGATCAAATATGTGGTGACATAGGGAGATTTGACTTTGGGTGGTAGACACACAACACAATATATAGATGATAAATGATAGAATTGTACACTTTGAAGCCTATATAATTTTATTAACTAATGTCACCCCAATAAATGTAATGAAAAAATAAGACCTTAATATATGAAGGGATATACATTGGCCATTGATTGGAAAACTCAGTATAATAAAGAAATCAATTCTCTGTAACTGATCTAAAAACTCAGCACAATCCCAATAAAAATTCCAGTAGGACTTTTTGTATAAATTGATGAAGTGATTCTAACAATTTATGTGGAATGACAAAAAACTAGAACAGTCAGAGCAATTTCGAAAGTAATTGAAGGATGTACTCTACCTGATATTAAGAGTTTATATAAAGCATAATATAAGGCATAAAATTAAGACAGTGTGGTATTGGTAAAAGGAGAGCCATATAGAGCAATGGAACAGAATAGTGAGCCCAGAATTAGACCCTTGCAGATATATCCTGTTGATTTTCATTTCAGGTGTACAAACAATTCAATGGAAAAGGATATTTTTTAAAATGATACAGGCACAATTGGACATCCATATGAAAAAAAAAGAACCTGAACCTATGTTAGCACCATATGCAAACATTTACTCAAAATGGGTTATAGACTTACATGTAAAACTTAAAACTATAAGACTTTTACAAGAAAACAGAAAATACTTGGACCTAACTAATGATTTCTTAAATACAACCCATAAAACATGATCCTTTTTTAAAAAGTTAGTATATTGGATGTTCCAAAATCAAAACCTCTGGTCTGCAAAAGACTGTTAAGAGAATGAAAAAAAAAGAGCAATACACAGAAAATATTTGCAAAGCACAGATCTGATAATGGACTTTTATCTACAATATATAAAGAACTCTCAAAAAGCTCAATAATAAGAGAACAATCCAATTTTTCAAATAGGCAAAAGATTTGAATAGACCTATTTCATTGAACATGGTATTCAGATGGCAAAAAAGTAATTGAAAATGAAAAGTTGCTCAATAGCTTTAGTATGTACCAAAAATGTAATTGAAAACCACAAAGAGATACCACTCAACAACTTTTAAAATGGCTGAAATTAAAAATGAAAACAAAAACCTAGCAATAGCATGTATTGGCAAGGATATGGAGCAATTAGAAGTCCTATACATTGCTGGTAAGAATGCAAAGTGGTACAACCACTTTGGAACTCAGTGTCACAATTTCTTATAAAGTTAAAAATACACTTACCATACAACATGGCAATCCAAATAAAATGAAAACATTCACATAAAAGCTTGTATGAGAATACTCATAACCACCTTAGCATCCTACACTAGAGACAACCCACATGTCCATCAACTAGTAAATGGATGAACAACTGGTACATCCATACAATGGAATAAATATTCAGCAATAAAAAGGAACCAGCTCCTGAATCATGCAACAACAGGAATGAAACTCAAATGTATTAAGCTTAGTGAAATAAGCCATACTCAGAAGGATATTCTGGTAAAGTAACACAATCAAGATTTAAAACAGTAGTGGCCAGCTGGTAGGTGCAGGGAGTGGAGGTTAATCATACAGGGGCATGAGGAAGGATTGTGAAATAATGAAACTTTTCTATGCCTTTGTCGTGGAGGTAATTAACATGATTATTTGCATTTGTCCAAACTACAATAATACAGCTGTACAAGTAAAAGGGTGAATTTGACTGGATTTAAATTATATCCAGTAAATCTAACTTAAAAGAAAATCATTAGGAGCAGTTAACATTAGATTCACACAACAGTAAAAAGATCAGTGAACTTGAAGTCATGACAATACAAATCTAACATGATTTGAAAATAAAGATTGTAAAGAGAGAGACTTACAGAACTGTGAGAGAATAACAAGCATGTAATTGGAGTTTCAGAAAGAAGACAGAACAATTGTAGAAAATTATTTGAAAAAATGCAGGCCAAAATTACTGAAATTTTATCTAAAACAACAACCCCACTAGTCCAGGAAATTTAGTGATCCTAGCAGGATAAATAATTTTTTTAACTTATCAAAAATTTAAAAACTAAATAAATTATGGCAAAACTATTGAAAACAAGAGCTAAAAGGAAAAGCAGCCAGTGAGATGGGGGGAAAAAAACATTACATTTCCCTGCCCCTCTAAGTAAGAATGACAGCTGACTTCTCTTAAGGAACTGTGGAGACTAGAGACAGTATTTGCCAGGGTACTGAAAGAAAAATAAAACACTTAACTTAGAAATGTGTCAGGGAGAAATCTTCAAAACTGAAAGTGAAATAAAAACATTAAAAAAAAAATCTAAGAGAACTGTCACTACCTGAACTGCACTACAAAAATTGCTATGGGCCGGCCAAGTGGCGCGTTGGTTAGGAGTTGACTTGGGACGCCAGCTCTGAGCAGCAGGGCCCAGGTTCAGATCCCACATGAGGGCCAGTGACGCTGCGCCCTCTACAGCTAAGATGGTGAGCAACAGCTTGACCTGGAGCTGGGCTGCCATGAGTCGCCGGCGACCACTAGGCTGCAGTGAGGTACTGTGAGCAGCCAACAGCCAGCGTGAGCTGCTGTGAGCCACCGTGAGCGGTCGTCCAATGGCCAGTGACCGATCTGTCTCAGCCGGGAAGAGCACAATGATAATACCAACATGGGCCAGTGAAGCAATGTCCTCCACATCTAGACTGAAGAACAAAAGGACAGCAACTTGTCTGTTCCCCTTCCCCGATTCCCCAACGCTGTTCCCTCCCCCAATTCCCCAATAAAAAATTTAAAAACAAATAGAATTTCTAAAGGAAGTTCTTAAGCCTGAAGGGAAAATGTAGTTGATGGAAATTCACATCCACAGGCAACATGGAAGAGCACTCTTCTGGTTTAAAAGACTGTACCTTATGGGCTCTTTCTGTTGCTCACATTTATCTCATAAGATGTTTTCTTGTACTCACTGCCCAGCCCAGTGTTGTTTTGTTATTATTTTTTCCAAATTCTGCCAAACCCATTACTGGATCCTGAAATCAATCTAGAAGGTCATGACCAGCATTTTGCTTGAGAAGTAGAGTAGAATGGGAAATAACCAGAGTATACTAATTTGAACTCTTAAGTATTAACTTTTAACTTTATCTCAGCCCCATGTGCTTATATAATGGTGTACAATTTAAGTGTGGTTTTTGATCTCTGAGTTGCAGTCCACAGTGTTTGGAGAACAGGGCTCTACCTGCACTGGCCTTTCTATTTAACATCCCAGCTTGTGTATGTTGCTCCCTGAGGACGTTTCTTTTGCATATCTTTGCATGGTTAACTTCTTTTCAGCGTTTAAATTGGAGTGTAACTATTATCTTCCCACCAGTCTTTCCTGCCTTTCTGGAAAAGCAGGGTACTATCATTAGTATCTGCATGAAAATTTTAAAAATTCCTGGAGCTAAAGAGTACCAAAAGTTGCATTTGAACTTAACCAGAATTTGTGTCTGGTAGTCAGACCTTTCTCAAAATTTGCAGTAAAAAATAAACGTAAGAGGCCAATAAACTATAAGGACAGTTTGTTCTAGGTAGAGAAAAATTATTAGATTTCTCTAAATCTGTTTGCCTGGAATTAAAACACACTAATAAAGTCTTTTTTATTATTATTATTATTAACATCTTGTCTTCCATTCCTTGTCTCTTTCCACTGGAAATTACTATTTTGCATTATTTTTTCTGGTACTATGTTAAAGCAACTCTCTATTAATTCTGGAATTTCTCTACTTCTCAGTGGTCAGATGTGAATTTCCAGTGCTCAAGAATGGAAAACCAGTATCAGGAATTAGAGAAAAATTTTCCTACCAAGCTGTGGTTTTATTTGAATGCCTCTCAGGTTTCTACCTTAATGGCAGCAACCCAGTGTTCTGTGGTGGAAATAATACCTGGGAGCCTGAGATGCCAACGTGTATTAAAGGTACAAGTTGTATAATTTTCCTTCTTGTTTTTTTAAGATTTTATTTCTTTGACATTAAATATGATACAGAATAATTGAAAAGAGGCAATTTTAGTGATTAATTTTCTTGTATCATATCCATGACAGATGTATGACATAAAGTTCATATAGAATTTTGCTGTTGTGATTTTTATATGTTTTCATAGCATTCTTAGTACATTATGTACATCACATAGGTATATACATTTCTCTTGTTCAGTGTTTTTATTTATAAAAATGGATAGCAATCATTTTTCAGGATAAATTGAATCATGTCAATTTTTACCTAAATAAAGAATGAAAGTCATAATTCATAGAAATGAAAAGAAAGTGATAATTCCCAAGCGATTAATCCTACATTATTATGTTTTTCAACATCAGTTCCTCTCAGTACAAAACCTCTTATTTTAAGTCATTCACATTTAGTAACTTCTTGCTTATACTAAATTCATGTTATATCCATTCAAATTTCACTTTTAGTAATAGAAGGAGGAAGAACACATTTGCAGCCATTTTAGTTGTCATTCTTAGTGATTCTAAAATTATTTGCCATAGTCCACATATATAAACAGGTATGTAAACTTGGGCAAGTTATTTAAACTTCGAATATATTTACTTGTATGTAAAATGATTTACTGCCTTTCTCACTGAGTGATAATAAAGCTTAAATTGGTTACCCTTAAAGCACTTAGCACAGTGGCTGCCATACGGGAAGCTCTTAAAGGAAGCTTATATGACTTAGACCATCACTCCAAGTAATATTAATGAAGAGGAATGTCTGTGGCATTTGTTTTCTGACATGTATGTTTTTTGTGTCACCAATTTTGCTATTTTAATTCAGTTTAAAAGTGATCTGTTGACACATTTTTTTTTAATTAAAGTTTACTGGGGGGGACAATGGTTAGTAAAGTTATATAGGTTTCAGATATGAGTCTTGGAGGATGGGAGACACATATCTTCCTGGTCCAGGGCTGTGTTTCATTTCCCAGACTGCAACAAGCTTAGTTCTTTTTATATAGTCCAACTTGAACTGGGAAATTTCTGCTGTCTTCCATAACAAGACTGGTATTTCTGCCAACCCCATCTCATACAATTATTCTTTTTCTCTGTACTGGGAATTTCTATTTGGCAACAGAAACTAGATTTCATAGCAACTGAAAGGCAGGAAAAGTCCTTATTTATTGAAATGAAGTGGAGGACTTGTTACATGGGCAGCTGATCAACTGCCCTACTTAAGACCTGAGAGGCTATTCTGATGTGAATGGTGGGAGGAACTGTCTTCCTGATGTCAATGCTGCTGTCTCTGGCTTCTGTTTGGTTTAAGCAGAAACGACAGCCAAGAGGAACAGTGGGAAGAGCGTCAGCCTGCGCTGCCCTCACTCAGGGTCCTGGTTGGGCTCTGTTTACTCCAGGAACATCCTTCCTGTGGGCTTAGTTTCCTGTTAAAGATGAGGGTGTTGAACTCAAATCTCAATTACTGGCTTATTTGTTTGTATGTTTCCTGTTGTCCCACTATTTTAAAGGATTGAGGGGACTTATGCATGTTAATGTGGATAGAACACATTGTTATGATTCCTGTACACCTGGTACCTTATAACCACCTTGAGTACCTTAACTGAGTGCTATGAGGTTTGGGGGGAAAGATGGTTTTTCGGTGGACTGATATATTAAGATTGCAGGTGAGCTTTACACTCATCGACCCATCCATGTTTACTTATGTGATCCTAGTGGATGTATACACTGTGGGATACTGTGTTTGTTGATATGCTCTTTTGAAAGAGTTGATCCTAAGAATTCATAAAGGATTTAGTGTTCAAAGAGAAGAGAATTGATTGTGAGAAAAAGTTCATGAAGAGGCGAAACAGGGACTTTTTTAAAAATCAAAAATCAAAACCCCTCATGGGATTATTAATCATCCTTTTTAAATCATCAATTAGAGAAAAACTATGTAGAAAGGCTCAATAGTAACATATTGGGCTGTCGGAAAAGTCATGACGTATTTTTTCTATGTTTTTTGTTGCAAAAATACGTCATGACTTTTCCAACAACACAATATAATGATAAAGTAGATCTGATTGTGCTAATATGAAACTAGGTTCATGAAATATTAAGTGGAAAAGTATACAAATTATGTGGCATGATACTACCTGGATGGTATTTTTTTAAATACATGTTTTCTTTGATCACATTATTTATTATTACTTAAATTCTAGGATTTCCATTATAAAATATAAAATTGTAATGAACATTCTTATGCATTTATCTTTATGTACCTGTGTAAATATGTATTTAGGTCATATTCCCAGAAGTAGAAATGCAAAGTTCAGAAAGTATGCATATTTTTCATTTTGAGGCATAATCTTTTGAAGAAATAAAAAAATCAAATTCATAATTTGTTATTGATAAGGTAGTGAGTGAAATCCAATTTATTTTTCCAGGTTTTAAGCCTACTCATCCAACCAAGCCTCCAGTTTCAAGATATCCAGGTTCAGTAACTTTATCCAATTTACATTGTTAAGAACTTAACTATGTTAATAAGGTGATGGGTGAAAAGTCATGCCTTGTTTTAATTTGCATTTCTTTCATTATTAATGAGGCTGAACCATTTTTATCTACATTTATTTATTCATGTCCTTTGCTCATTTCTCTGTTAAGTTTCTAAAATATTATTTTTGTTGATTGTGAGAGCTTACTATAAATTAAAGGCCTTTTAAAATGTAGTGAACATTTTTTCCAGGGTTTTTTTTTGGCCGTAATTTTACTAGACAGTTTTCTTTTAAAATTCTTATACTCTACTAATGAATATAGATTACTTTTTATAACTTTGTTACATGAGTAGCATACAAATGTATTTTTGTAAATTTTCAAACATTACAAAAGTATACAGAGTAGAAAATTAGTTCTCCTCTTTCTCTAGTCCATTGTCTGAGTTAATCACTATGAATGGTTTAGGTGTCTTTTTACTATTCCTGTACTTACATTTCTTTATATGTGTAGTTATACATAGTTTAGCATTTTTTCCTTTTTTTCTTAACCAGAAATGGGATTGTGCTGTTCATATTTTGCTAAAACTCTCACATTTTACACTTAGTATCTTAGATTGGGGTTATATTAAGATTTATCTCCATCCTTTTTAATGATAGCTTTAATATATACCATATTTTATTAAAGTTTTTTACTATCAGTGGTCATTTATATATGCAGAAGTTTTACATTTGATAAGTAGTTGGGTGTATCGATGTTGTCCCAATGGAGCGTTGTGTCTTTCTTATAAAAGCTTTAAGTTTCGCCATGCTTAAATTATATAAACATTTCAACTTTGTGTTCTGATTGCATTTAAATTGTTGGTGCATCGGAAATTCATTATAGTATATGGAATGAGATTGGGTTCTTCTCCACTTCACCCACCCCCATCCAGTGGCTAAGCAACACCATTTGTGGAATAAGTTGTGTTTTCTCCAGTTGTTTTATCATGCATTAAATTCATAGGTGTTTTAGCTTCATTTCTGTTCCCTTGTTTCTGTCTGTTCCTGTGCCAGCATCAAATTGTCTTTTTTAAATGTAGTACTGTAATATATTTTAATATCTTGCAGAACACTTCCTGTTCAGAAGTATGCAGGCTAATCTTATGTTAATTTTTCTGAATCAACTTTAATTTTTTTACCAATTGTACATTCTAAATGTACAATTCAGTGGCATTAAGCACATTTACGTTGTTGTGCAACCATCACTACTATCTATCTCCAAAACTTTTCATCTTCCCAAACTGAAACTTTATACCCATTAAACAATCACTGCGCATTCATACCCCTCCTCCCTGCTCTGGTAACCCTATTTTATATCTATAAATTGGACTATCCTAGGTACCTCATATAAGTGGAATTTTACATTTTTCCTTTTTTGTCTGGCTTATTTCACATAGCATAACATTTTCAGGGTTCATCCATATTAGAGTAGCATTTATCTGAACTTTTTGTGGCTGAAAATATTCCATTGTTTGTATATACCACATTTGTTTATCCATTCATCTATTGGTAAATATTTGGCTTGATTTCACCTTTGGCTATTCTGAGTATGCTTCTCTGAATATTGCCTCTCAAGAATCTGTTTGAGTCCCTGTTTTCAATTTTGGGGATATATACTTAGAAGTAGAATTGCAGGGATTTATGGTATTTCTGTGTCTGATTTTTTGAGGAATAACCGTACTGTCACAGCTGCACCATTTTACATTTTTACCAGCAATGCACAAAGGTTCTAATTTCTGTACCTCTTTACCAACACATTATTTTCTGTGTTTTTTTAAAATAATAATCCCATATATAGTAGGTAAAATATGTGAAGTATTATCTCACTGTGGGTTTTATTTGCATTTCCCTCTTCATTAGTGATGTGTAGGGCATCTTTTCATATGCTTATTTGGTATTTGTATAGGTCTGACAATTAGGTTCATGAACTTGCCTCCATGGACTTACATTGGCAGCGCTGTACAAACAGCGCGGTAAGGTTTCATAACCTTGGTATATCAGTGTCTCACACCTGTGTTCATGTCAACATGTGGCAGTGTCTTGCTGAGTGGCTTTCATTATTGTTGTTGTGTGTTTTTGTGTGCCATCGTGGGAATGTCTGAGTTTGACAAGCCGGCCGAGTAGTTCAATTGGTTAAGAGCTCACTCAAGAGTGTGAGCTCTGAACAACAGGGTCACTGGTTCGCTTCCCGGCCCGAGCTGAGCTGCCACTGAGCTGCAAACAGGTGGCAGGATGGCTCAGCTAAAAAAAAAAAAAGAATGTCTGAGCTTGAATTAGAGCAATGAACAAACATTAATTTCTTGTTAAACTTGGCAAAAGTAGAAGTGAAATCAGGGAAATGTTATTCCAAGTTTATGGGGATAATGCCATGAAGAAAATGGCAGTGTGCAAATGGATTAAACATTTTTCTGAGGGGAGAGAACCAAATTTGCTACTTGAAAATGCTGAAAAGGCTACATGAAAAAGTTAGATTAAAACGACCTGAACTTTTCTCCCAATGATTCATGGCTCTTGCATCACAACAATGCACCAGCTCACACACTGTCTGTATGAGGGATTTTCTAGCCAGTAAACAAATAACTGTATTGGAACACCCTCCCTACTCACCTGATCTGGCCCCCAATGACTTCTTTCTTATTTACCCGAAGATAAAGGAAATATTGAAAGGAAGACATTTTGATGAAATTTAGGACATCAAGGGTAGTACCACGACAGCTCTGATGGTCATTCCAGAAAAAGAGTTCCAAAATTGCTTTGTAGGGTGGACTAGGCACTGGCGTCGGTGCATTGCTTCCCAGGGGAGTACTTTGAAGGTGACCGTAGTGATATTCAGCAATGAGGTATGTAGCACTTTTTCTGGGATGAGTTCGCAAATGTAATTGTCAGATCTCCTAATATCTTCTTTGGAGAAATGTTATCAAGTCTTTTGCCCATTTTTTAATTGAGTTGGTATTTTTCTTATTGATTTTTTAGGAATTCATTATATATTTTGGATATTTGTCCCTTATTACATATACGATTTGCAGATATTTCCAACTTATTCTGTGAGTTGTCTTTTCACTCTATTGATAGTGTTCTTTGATGCACAAAAAATATTGTCCAATTTATCTGTTTTTTTCTTCTGTTGCCTATGCTTTTGGTGTCACATTCAAGAAATCATTGCCAGATCAAACATCATGAAGCTTATCCTGCATGTTTTCTTCTAGTAGTTTAATAGTTTTAGCTTTTATATTTAGCATTTTGATCCATTTTGAATTAATTTTTCTATGTGGTATAAGATAAGGGTCAAACTTCATTCTTTTGCTTGTGGATATCCAATTTTCCAAGAACCATTTGTTGAAAATCAACATTGCGCTTAGAAGCCCACTGTAGACAATCATTTGACCATATATGTGAGACCCTCTATTCAATTCCATTGGCCTGTATGTCTTGGTGTTAGTCCCGTTTTGTTTTTATTATTGTAGCTTTGTAGTAAGTTTTGAAATCAAGAAATGTGAGTCCTCTCAACTTGTCTCTTCTTTTTCAAGATTACCTTGACTACACTGAGTGTCTTAAGATTCCATATGAATTTTAGGATGGACTTGTATATTTGTGCAGAAAGCATCCTCAGAATTTTGATAGGGTTGGCACTTCATCTATACATTTTTTTGTAGTATTTATGTCTTAATATTATGTCTTCCAGTCCATCAACACAAAATATTTTTTTATTTATTTTTGTCTCTTTTAATTTCTTTCTATAATTGCTGTTTTCAGTGTACGAGTATTTTACCTCCTTGGTTATTCTAAAGTATTTTATTTTTTTGGATTATTATAAATGGAATTGTTTTCTTAATTTCCTTTTTGGATTGCTTATTTTGATGTCTAGAAATGCAACTGATTTTTGCATGTTGATTTTATAGTATACAATTTTGCTGAATTCATTTATTCTATCAGGTTGAGTGTGTGTGTGTGTGTGTGTGTGTGTGTGTGTGTGTGTGTGTAAACTTTAGCATTTTCTATGTAAAAGATCATGTCATCTATGAACAGAGGTAATTTTATATTTTCCATGCCAATTTTGATGGTTTTTACTTCTTATTTTATCTAATTACTCTGACTCAAACTTCCAGTATTATGTTGACTAGAAGTGGCATATGTGGGCATCCTGTTTTGTTGCTAATCTTAAAAGAAAATTTTTCAGTCCTTTAACATTGACTATGATGTTAGCTATTAGTTTTTCATAAATGACCTTTATTTTGTTAAAGAGTCTTTTTAATCCAGATTAACTTCTAAACCATTTTCAAGACCTCTACTTTTTTTAAGTTTTAGGTAGCATGTTGAACTCAAGGCTAATTCCGAGATACAGTAATGCTAAATTTGCTTGCCGTACCACACAATATTATCACAGGAAATGTCAATGGACATGAAGAAGAATGTTGTTGACACTAAATATAAATTTCTAAGATTTTATGATACTATCTTTAATGAGCAACATTAATATAATTTATAAGGAAACTAAAATTATAAGCACTTTTATACAAAGGCAAAAAATCAAAAACAGTGAATTTATAGATGTTTAAGCTTTATTTTGTCTTTCTCTTTTTACTATTTCCATTTTTTTATTTTTTAGGATATCCCAATCCCAGTGAATTTCCATCAATTGAAGACTTTGAGGAATTAGGTATTATTTAGTTATTAATAAGCCTGCATTATGAGATCATAGAGTTCTACATGAAAATATCATGTTCAATTATTTGTAGTTACAAAAGAATTATTAGTAATAATTATTACTATTAGTAGTAGTAATAATTGATATTTATAGTTATTTTAATATTACAGATACGATGAAAAATGTAAGTGGTAGTATGTGTAGACACATATAGATAATTTTCTCTAATCTTATGAATTCTAATTGTCTTGTAAACCTTTACTAAATAACCTGGTGTGGTAATTATAGCACAGAACAATGACAAGTGAGGGCTCGTACTAAGAGTTTCACAGGTGGATCCTATATAAGGAATCTATTTGAAGTATTCTGTGATCAAAATAATATGGATGTACTAACAGTCATGCTAAAACTAGATTAGTAGGTTTTTTGCTGTAGTTTTTAGATTATCTGATCAGAATTAAAATGCAACTACTATCTAGGACCCATATATACTCAATATCTTCAAAACTGTTTTCATTTTTCCTCAGATGCGGGAACCATTGCTTTAATTATTCTCACTATACGTAAGTATCCCAAACTTGGATACTGCTTAAATCAAAATATTACTGTAAAGAAGTGTATTATTTTTTAATGAGTTTTCAGTTTCTATAGTTTTAAGTAAACCTGTCAATAAACGCCTAACCTTTTATATGATATACCACCTCATGTTAGTGATTATGTATTCTTTAATATTCTACATGTCCACTTATAACAAATTCTAATTAATACATGATTTTTTCAAGAAGATTAGTTATATGAATTTGTATTCCAAATATACTTTGGGTAATTTTCTAAATTAAGCAAGGACTACTGTGAGTTATTGTGTGGACTTTTAAGTGATTCCAGGGAAATGCAGTTAGACAATGAAGAGTCCAGATGGAATATAAATGTACAATATATGTGCTTAAATAAAATAACATTTCTGACCACTGAAAAGTAACCAACATTAATTTCTTCTGCTAGATTTTGAATCTTAGAAATTATTTTTCAGAGATACATGTCATTTGTTTTCTGGTTTCTTGTAGTTGTTGGCATTGCAGTAATTTGCACCTGTTTGTACAAATGTCTTCGCAGAGAGAAGAAAGGGTAAATTAAAGCATGTTTCCTCTAATTTATTGGTCCTTCTCACTCTTGATATACTTTCGTGATGCTTTTTGTACTCTGTTTGCATGCCATCTATTTTTAAAATGTACTGTATTAGTGTGTCATGCGAATTACGTTTCCTTACTAAAAATATTTTCATCTGCTTTTAATATTATTGCAACAATGGTAATCTGTGCAGACTTGCTCCAGCTATTTTATATATATATATATATATATATATATATAACTGTAAGAAAATTTTTTGTGGGGTTTGAGGTTTAAGTTCTGCAGCAAATCATAGGTTATTATTATGGGGCCTTCCCTACCCTAGGTATATACTCTATTTCCTAAATTGGGCTAGTGGCCAGGATTGAATTTAAATGGTTCACTGTGGAGACTTTTTGACAGTTGTATTCACTGGAATTTTTAGGATGAAAGCTTCCATTTGTCTATATAACTTAGGTAATTAATAAGAAGCTTTGTAGGTGTCTCATTCAAATATCCAATTTGATTTCTTTTCATTTATAATTTTTATCTATATAAGTTAAACTGGGGAATTAGAAGCAACACTATGTGTTTTCCCTTTTATGTTCTCATAATTTACTGCAACTGATGGGTTAAATAAACTTAAAATTACTGAGAGGGGTAAGAATTACAGGCACCTAATAAACTTTATCTGCCTTTTTATCTATAAAAATGGAAAAAGGTAGGCTTAGAATAGAAAAAAAGTATACAAATACATATCTTCTAAGGAGAATAGGATTTTTAAAAATCAAACTTAAATTTGAATGAAAAATTTACAATTTAATGAAAGACAGAATAAATCCTGGGGCATAGACCAAAATTAGGTGATTTGGAATTTCTGATTTTTACTGAGTTTTTTCCTGTAGTTTTTAAAATACCTTTGAAATCAAAAATAAAATTTTAAGAATTTTGGTATTTATGGTTTTATGATGTTAATTTAAAAGTCAAAATGAGCCAACAAGTTTTTATTTGGGATCAAAGAATTGCAATTCTTGCTGCACAGATTNCTACTGGCATTGACAAGCAGAGTGACTCTTTAGCTATGCATGATTGGCTACTGATTCTGTCTTCAGATAGAAAGCCCACAATTCTTATTCCTTATAGTCAGGATCTGCAGTTCTGCTGGCTTTATATACATTTGTTGGTAAGATGAGGATCCTTTGACCTAGTCCAAAGGTTTTTTAGCCCAGTTCAAACACTATAGAGGTTCAAAGAACAAGACATGCATGCAAGGCAGTTCCTCTAGAATGGCTGCTCCTGCTCCATTTTAAAATGTCTCCCCTTATGTCAGCTTTTACAGTGATATCTTCTTCTTTTATATTAATCATCTGGTTTGGGCTATGTAATAAAAGTACGTTTTTCACTCATAAAGAGTTCAAACATTTTTTTATATTTTGGCTATCTTTTTTAAATACCTACAATGCTTTCATTTTAATCCTAAATCTTATATTTATGGAACATATTCTATGCATATTTATATTTCACTTAGTAGTATAGTTTTCAGTTACATATATTGGGTTGTCGGAGAAGTCATGATGCATTTTTACAACAAAAAACATAGAAAAAAATACATCACGACTTTTCCAACAACTCAGTGCACAAGAGTGTGAATAGGAAATACTATCAGTTGGATATATTTACACGTCCAAAAGGTTTGTGTAGTGTGGACACAGAGGGGGCCTAGGGAATGTAACAGCACAGGGTGAACAGGTCATAAATTCCTAATTGGGCAGGTCATGGTGAGTAGTCACACCCTAGGCATATACATTTTTTAGTAAAATTTTTATTGCCTTAAGCAAGCCCTGTTCATTGTTTTTGTGCATGTAGGTTAACATGCCTTTGAAGTAAATGTAACCATCCTCAAGAGAGCAGGAAATCTTGTTAACCATTCTGTAATAAAATCCCTGCCTTGCTTTCTTCTACCTTCATGTAATGTTTCGTACGTTCCCTCCTTAATTCCAAATGCATAAAAGAGAGTACAAAGTAACCATTCTCCACAGTATTTAAGATCTTCCTTTCCAGAAATTGTCAGTTTGGCTCAAATAAACTCATAAAAATTCTCTACAGATTTGGATGTTTCTTATATCGATAGCAATAACTTCTCAAGAAAGTAAAGAAAATTGTTTTCTGCTCCTCCCTTTCCTTCTTTGTCTAAAATATCACTGCACCAGAACACTTAAAGCGTCCTTAACAAGTATAACGAAACTCTCTCTAGCTACCTGTTAATGTGTCCTGTAATCTGAACATCCAGACAAGAGGGTAACATAGGAGGATCCTAAACTCACCTCCTCTCACAACACACCTACTCTACAACTATACATAGAAAAATTCCCTCGAAAGAGAGCCAAAAACTACTCACCAACTTCTACACATCAGGTCGAGAGAAAAATACTCAAAATGGGTAGAAGAGGCTGACACAATCTCTCCATATACCCCACCCATATTTGTACACCAATAATGAACTATTGGAAAGAGAATTAAGAAAAAAATCCCATTACAATTG